GTCTGGCGGCTCCGGGCCCCCTGGGGCCCACTCACCACAGCCGGGGCCCCTTGGCTTCTCCGCTCCGCCATGGCCCGTCGTGCTGCTTCTGCTTCTCTCAGTCCTGGCGCTCCTCCCTACGGTCCTGTACCTCCAACTCCTTCATCCGCAGCTCGGCCGGGATGGACCCGCCCTGGACGAACCGCTGCTGGTAGAGCTGGGCCTGGTGGGCACCAAGTCTCTCTGGTGGGCTCCTGCCCCCTCCGGTCTGAGAGCCTGAGACACTCCCAGGGGGTGTTGGGCTGCTCCCCACTGGGACAGGATCCCGGCCCCTGGACGGGTCATTCTCTTCCAGCCGGGCGATCAGCTGGGCTTGGTTGCTTTCCCCACGGGCAGCCCCTCTCTCTGCACAGCCCCGCAGTGTCTGCCTTGAGGAGTCGGGCGCAGGCCATCTCCCCGCTGGTCCCTGGGGTGCAGACTCACCGACCGAATGCTGCAGCGCCCACGACTCCCAGGAATCGCTTCGCTCTGTCTCCAGCACCTGGCCCTTGCAAGCCCCTTCCTTCTCCTGGCACCGTCACTCGCTGCTGGAAGCCCCATCCACGCGGTGCAGCGCATCCCACTCCTGACACCAGTGTGACGGCGCGTCGGGGTCCCCCTGATCCTGCAGCCCCGGAGCAGCAAGAACAGGCTCCGCCGGCCGGTAGAACAGGGGGGTCATTGCCCCTCCGGGACAGCCCAGCACAGACGGGACGTGGCTGCAGGAGTCAGGGGCTGGCAGGGGTGCCTAGACCCCTCAACTCCCAGCGCTCTGCTTAGTCTGTTCTCTCCATGGTTTTCCAACCAACAACTACCCAGCTCCCAGCCCTGCCCCCAAACCAGGTGTTCGTCTCTGCCTCCCTCCCTTTGTCTCCCCCCGGGAAGAGCCTTGTTCTCTGCCCAGGCTAGGCCCGGGTGTCGGGGCCAGTCCACACATGGGTGAGTCAGTGGGGATCTCACAGCCCAGCGCAGGGGGCCCGGGTCACAGAGCAGCCCCCCCGCACTGCGGCACACGCATGCTCCCAGCCCTGCCCCCAAACCAGGTGTTCGTCTCTGCCTCCCTCCCTTTGTCTCCCCCCGGGAAGAGCCTTGTTCTCTGCCCAGGCTAGGCCCGGGTGTCGGGGCCAGTCCACACATGGGTGAGTCAGTGGGGATCTCACAGCCCAGCGCAGGGGGCCCGGGTCACAGAGCAGCCCCCCCGCACTGCGGCACACGCATGAATTCTTACCTATAGTCCCCGGGGGGCGGCCGGCAGCCAGTGCGCTCCAGCCCCGCTCCCGAGGAGCCCCCTGCCTCTCCTCCCCTCCCGGACCAG